AAACATCGATGAGAGAGAAACATCGATTAGCTGCCTCCTGCACAACCCCCACTGGGGATGTGCCCGCAACCAAGGTACATGCCCTTAACTGGAATTGAACCTGGGACCTTTCAGTCCGCAGGCTGACGCTCTATCCACTGAGCCAAACCGGTTTCGGCAGTATCTGGTTTTTAGTTTATTTTCCCAAAAAAACTTTTGGGGAGAAAGAGGCAGCATATTACTATATTGGAAAGGCTTTGGAGCCTGACAGATTAGAGTTTAACTACATCCTATTTGTGCCACTTGTTGGCAATGTAATCTTCCATTTGTTTTACCGTTCTGAACTTATTTTTTCTTCTTTTGAAATAGGAATAATAATAATAATGTAGTTGCCGAAACCGGTTTGGCTCCGTGGATAGAGCGTCAGCCTGTGAACTGAAAGGTCCCGGGTTCAATGCTGGTCAAGGGCATGTTACCTTGGCTGTGGGCACATCCACAGTAGGGGGTGTGCAAGAGGCAGCTGATCGATGGTTCTCTCTCTCGATGTTTCTAACTCTCTATCCCTCTCTCTTCCTCTCTGTAAAAAATCAATAAAAATATATTTTAAAAAAATAATAATAATGTAGTGAATGTGAGAGTGAGAGAAAATGGGACAGGTTGTCAGAATTTAAATAAAATGATGATTTCTTGATTGGTGAGCCAGCTGTGTCATAGTGGTATTGTTACTTATTGCAGAGACTAACTTCTGCGTCCAGTATTATATTCTTTTATCCCACAGCTTTGGTTAGTTTTCCACACTAGTTCGCTTTATTCTGGCTAGTGAAGTGAGGCCCCACAATTACACTTCACCTTCAGTTGGAGGGAGGTTTTCAGATAAGCTGAGGGAAATGGTGTGGCAGATCCCTCAGAAAGTGCGTGCCCCGTGAACACTGAGCTGTCAGCACGAAAGAAGGCAAGGTGTTGTTCATTAGATAGTATGTACAAGACCTTGTGAAAAGTCCCCAGGTATAGCAGTTGCCTGGCAGTACAATAGGCCCAGTTGGTCCCTTACATGGTTTTGATTTTTGTCAGGGGCAGTAGTGTAGTGATCATTAAGTCTTTTTCAGTTATTGTAACGAGTATGAAGTTTTTCTGCAATTTGTCTCATACATCCAAAATTATTTCAGTCACTCCAAGTGACTGACATGGCCTTTTGGTGTATAGAATTCATGACTTTTCTCTTACATATCTTTGTATGAAGCATTTTTGTTAAATATTGCCAATGAACTTCTGGCGGTAACGCATAATCAGTTTTTCTCTATCCTACCCTTCTGAGATTCTAATTACTCTTTGATGTTGTCACATAGTTGCCTGAGGCTGTCCATTCTTAAGGTCTTTTTACTTCAGGTTGTTCATTTCTTTGGATATATTTTCAAGTTCATGGGCTCTTTCCTCATTTTCATTTTATTTTGAAGCACATCCAATTTTATAATTTCCATTTGGTTCTTTTTTAAAAAGACAGATAATTGATTGATTCCTTTTCTTTGAGCTTATCCTATATACGGTAATAAAAGCCTAATATGCTAAGTTCAACCAGTTGCTATAATGTGCACTGACCACCAGGGGGCAAATGCTAGGGTTTGGCCAATCAGGACTGGGTGGGACGGGCTGGACATGCCCTGGAGCCCTCTTGCAATCCCTCCCTGGCCCTGCCCTAATCATGCACTGGAGGGGTCCCTCAGCCTAGTCTGCCCTCTCACAGTCCGGGACCCCTCGGGGGATGTTGGACAACTGATTTCGACCCAATCCCCACAGGGCAGGCCGAGGGACCCCACTGGTGCACAGGCCTCTAGTCTGTAATGGTTGTTTTAAGATATTTGCCTGCTCACTTCTGCTAATTTCAATATCTCAGTAATCTTTGAGCAGATAATGAGTAACTAATCCAAGGAATCAGACACATTTTGTGGTTGTCTTGAAGATAAGGGAGGCAAAGATCAAGTTGAGTTGATAGAGACACTTAATGAGATCTGCTTCAGTTACCTCCTTCGGCCCATTTTAGACTCTTCGTGAGAGGTGGTGGGTAGCTCTGAGTTTATTGTGATGTTAGATTAGATTAGTTGCAATCAGACGTAAGATGAGAGGCACCAGGTATGTCCTGTTGAAGCAGAGGAAGGGTCACGAGCACAAGTAGAGTAGTCAAAAACTCTTGAGCAGTGCTTCTTAAAAATGTGAATGGAAAATGGCTATGAACTATCCTATATAATAAAAGGATATTATGCAAATAGACTGAAGGCAAAACGACTGGTCACTATGACGCATACTGACCACCAGGGGCCGGATGCTCAGTGCAGGAGCTGCCTCCTGGTGATCAGTGTGCTCTCATAGAGGGAGCACCACTCAGCCAGAAGCCCTGAGCGGGGCTCACGGCTGGTGAATGCAACAGCAGTGGTGGGAGCATCTCTCACCTCTGCAGCAGTTGGACATCCCTCAAGGGCTCCCGGACTGAGAGAGGACGCAGGCTTGGCTGAGGGACCCACAAGTGCATAAATTTCATGCACCAGGCCTCTAGTGTAGTTATAAGATTATCATCTTACTTGAAGGATCAAATTACTTGTTTCATGTATTATAATAGGCTGAAGGAACTATAATCAACCATTTTTTTAAAATATACATTTTATTGATTTTGTACAGAGAGGAAGGGAGAGAGATACAGAGTTAGAAACATCAATGAGAGAGAGTCATCGATCAGCTGCCTCTTGCACACTCCCTACTGGGAATATGCCCGCAACCAAGGTACATGCCCTTGACCGGAATCGAACCCGGGACCCTTCAGTCCCCAAGCCGATGCTCTATCCATTGAGCCAAACCGGTTTCGGCTCAACCAGTTATTTATTATTTACTAGAGGCCTGGTGCATGAAATTCATGCATGGGTCCCAGCCTGGCCTGCACCCTCTCTTGTAATTCGGGATCCTTCAGGGGATGTTCAACTGCCAGTTTAGGCCCGATTCCTGCAGATCCCCGTGGGATCAGGCCTCAGCTGTCAGTTGGACATCTCTCTTGCAATCCAGTATTACTGGTTCCTAACCACTCACCTGCCTGCCTGCCTCATCACCCCTAACCACTCTGCCTGCCTGCATCATTGTCCCTAACTTCCTACCTGCCTGCCTGATCGCCCCTAACCACTTGCCGGCTTGCCTGATCACCCCTAGCTACTCACCCACCTGCCTGATCACCTCCTAACCACCTCTTGCTGCCTGTCTGATCGCCCCTAACTGCCTCGGCCTTGGTCCCTGCCGCCTTGGCTTAGTCTGGAAGGACGTCTGAAATAACAGCCAGAAGGTGGTTCAGCTGTCCTGTCTAATTAGCATATTACACTTTTATTATAGATTTTCTTAGGACCATGCCGTCAAAGAACTTTTGTGTGTGTGAATAATAATATTGGTAATGGTTTCTCATATTTCTGTAGTTGTTCACAGTTCATTTTTTACACAATCTTTTTTATCTTACTTGATCACTGAAATTAAAGTTATATTGTTAGGCTTAATAAAGACGTTAAGAATATCCAGTTTCTCAGACTTGAAAGAATATTAAGTAAATTGTAAAAAGATTCTGGCCAAAAAGCAAAATTTTGAACTAACCGTTTTCATTAAGTTGAACATAGATTTATTCACATATACACGTTTAAAAAATTTCCTTGAGAATTTAAGTGTATAAAAGAGTGCATAAAACTTTTCATACAGTTCAAAAAATGATAATAAAATTAGCATTCCTGTACCATTGATCCAGCTTAAGAATTTAACAGGATCTTAGGAAATCCTGTGTGTTTCTTTTCCCTCAAGAATAAATCATCACCATGAAATTTGCTTTTTAGTTTTATAAGTATTCCTATAGAATGTTTATTTTTGCTTGTTTTTAAACTATGTGTAAATGACATCACTATATTTCTGTGACTTTTTTCCCAAGTGCTTTTTGAAATTTATTCATGTTGATTAAAATAGTTGTGGGTGCTCTAGCCCAGTGGTCGGCAAACTCATTAGTCAACAGACCACTGCTCTAGCTGGTTTGCTCAGTGGGTGGAGTGTTGCCCCACAGGCTAAGGGGTCCCGGTTCGATTCTGGTCAAGGGCACGTACCGGTTGCCGGCTCGTAGCCAGTCAATTTGTGTTTCTCACATTAATGTTTCTCTCTCTCTCCCTCCCCCTTTCACTCTCTCTAAAAATCAGTGGGAAAAAATATCCTCAGGTGAGGATTAACAACAAAAACAAATGTCAATTTATTCCCTATAATTAATAGAATAATGTCTAAATTCCTCACACAGTGTTCAAAGTCTACCCTGCAAACCAATCAAAGTAGCAAAATTTACTTAGTCTTCAAGTTCCAGTTCTTACATTACTTCTGTGAAGTATTAAGATGCACATAATATAATAAGTGCTTCACTTTCACTGGCCCTGTATTAGAAACTTAACCACATTGTTACTGTGCGTGTAGCATACTGTCTGTCTTTCCCGAAGACAGAACTTCTAAAGGAAGGTACTAGGCTTGTTTTAAACTCCGGTGCTTGCCACCATGCTTTATATAGTTTGGATTCTTGCTAAAGGAATGCTAAAGGGATAAATGAATATGAAATAATTATTAATTTATTTGGTAGGAATTGCTGAATTCTCTCTGGTGACATGAAATTTGCTTTTGCTTCTTGGATCTTTGTGTTAAGATATGTATCTAGCATTGAGAGTTACAGTACATAGAATGTTTATTAACATGAGAATAAACTGGCCTCTTTTGTTATTTTGCATTATTTCATACGTTATTTGGTGTTTAAAGATAATTGTCTTCACCAAAATGTAATTCATAAGAAATAAAGGAAATATATAATTTCCTCATGGAAATTAAATCTATTATCAATATAGTTTGATGAAAGTATTAAATATTTTGGCTTAATTCTTAATCATAACTTGAAGTCTTATTGCTTAAGAAATACCATTATTTGTATTAATTACATCACATTTCATTAAGAAAGTAATTGATGTTGCTTTTTATTTCAGCTAAACCATTTACTTCTAAAGTGAAACAGATGCGATTACATAGAGAAGACTTTGAAATATTAAAGGTGATCGGTCGAGGAGCTTTTGGAGAGGTAAGAACTTATAGAAGGCCTGCTAGTTCGTTCGGAAGCTATTTTATACCGTCTGAAAAAATGTGACTGGAATGTTTCTTACTCTGTTGTGATACGATTAAACAGAAAACATATTAAAGTTTTGAGTGAAAATACTTACACGCGGAATTTTCCCCTAGATATTTCTGTTCTTCACGTGTCTTTGTGAGATTGAGTATGTTTCTGGACCCTGTTTTGCTGGTCTGTTTGTGTCCCCTTGTGCCAATATGACACTGTCTTAAGTTGTTCTACTTTGTCTTGCTATCTGGTAGTGTATGTACTCTGACTTCTTTCTTCCCTCTACTCCTCTGTTCTTGGCTCTTTATGTTTTTATTAGAGGCCCAGTGCACGAAATTTGTGCAAGGGTAGGGTCCCTAGGCCTGGCTGGCAATCAGGGTGAATCAGGGCCTCTCGGCCGCAGGCCAGGGCCTTCTTTCCAACTGCCAGCGGCCTTTCTTCATTCTGCACTGGCTCCTGGTGGTCAGCACATATCATAGCAAGCGATTGGTCTCTTGGTCAAATTCCAGTGGGGGCAATTTACATAATAGGCTTTTATATATAGACTAAAGGCCCGGTGCATGAAATTTGTACACTAAGGGTGGGGATGGGGGAGGGGGGCGTCCTTTAGCCCGGACTGCACCCTCTTGCAGACTGGGAGCCTCAGAGGATGTCTGACTGATGGCTTAGCGCTGCCATGGAGGCAGGAAAGGCTCACCACCGCTGCTGCACCAGGCCATAAGCCTGGCTTCTGGCTGAGTGCTCCCTGGGGGAGCACACTGACCACCAGTACAGCTCCTGCATTGAGCATGGTCAGTGCTGTCATAGCAACCAATAGTTTTTTGGGCCATTTGCATATTAACCTTTTATTATATAGAATAGATCATTTTAGACTCAGTGTTTCAGTTTCTACTTATTCTTTAAAAAAAACATATATATATTGATTTTTTAGAGAGAGAGGAAGGGAGGAAGAGGAAAAGAGAGAGGGAGAAGCATTGATTTGTTGCCTTCTGTATGCACCTGACTTAGGATGAAACCCACAAATTGGGTATGTGCTCTGATCGCAAATTGAACTGGTGACTTTTTGGTGCATGGGATTATACTCAACCAACTGAGCCACACTGGCCAGGGCTCTACTCTTTACAATTTTTTGTTAAGATATATTTTTATTAATTTCAGAGAGGAAAAGAGAGGGAGAGAGAGTTAGAAATATCAATGAGAGAGAATCATCGATCGGCTGCCTCCTGCACGCCCCCTACTGGGGATTAAGCCCCCAACTCGGGCAGGTGCCCTTGACCAGAATCGAACCTGTGAGCCTTCAGTCCAGAGGCCAACACTATCCACTGAGACAAATCTGCGAGGGTTACTATGAATATTCTTATATGCATTTTATGGAGATAGATTTTCATTTTCCTTGGATAAATACCTAGGGCTAGAACTATTGGGTTAAATGGTTGGTCATGTTTAAATTTAAAAGAAACTGGCACTCCTACAATGGGGTAATACCATTTTACATTTTTCCCAGTTCCAACAATATATTCTGTTGTTCATCTTTGTAATTTTAGCCATTCTAATGGGTATATAATAGAGTTTCATAGTCTTTAAGTTGCATTATTATTTGAATTTATATTATATATCAACATAATTACTCACCATTCTTATAGCTTCCTTTCTGAAGTATGTATTCAAGTATTTTGCTCATTTAAAAAAAATTGGGGTATTTGCTTTTTTATTATTTTGTTGTAGGAGTGTTTTCAGTTTTGATGGTACAATTTTTTCCCTTAGGTTTATTATTTTCTGGGGGTATTTTTTAGGTGGGAGGAGGGGTTCCCCCTAAGAAATTCTTATTTATATTTAGGTCATAGACATATTGACCTATTTTTAAAAATGTATATATTTTATTGATTTCAGAGAGGAAGGGAGAGGGAGAGAGAGAGAGAGAGAAAATCAATGAGAGAGACAATCATTGATCAGCTGCCTCCTGCATCCATGCCCCAGGAGGGATCGAGCTTACAACCCAGGCATGTGCCCTGACTGGGAATCGAACCGTGACTTCCTGGTTCATAGGTCAATGCTCAACCACTGAGCCACGCTGGCCTGGTGATCTAATTTGTTTTTTTGGTGTTTTTTTTTTAAAGCTCTGTAGTTTTAGTTCTTATGTTTAGGTTGGTTGTCTACTTTAAATTAATCCATGTATGATGTTGGATGTTTGGTTGTCTCAGCAACATTTGTTGAAAAGACTGTATTTCCTCTATTAAATTACTTCAGCATTTTTGTAAAAAACAGTTTACTACATTTTTATCTATTTCCGCTCTTTCTATTCTGTTTCATTGATCTCTTTGTCTCTATTGCCAATACCACATTATCTTGAGTCCTGTAGCTTTATACTATAAACTTGAAAGTATGTAATGAAGTGTGAGTGTAAATTCTCCTACTTTGTTCTTTTTCAGATTGTTTTAGGTTCTGAGACTTTTGCACTATTGTATACATTTTAGAATCAGGGTGTCAGTTTCTGTCAGTCTACTGGTATTGAAATTGAGTTTGCATTAAATTTATAGGTCAGTTTTGGGCAATCTGGCATTTTAATGTTGAATCTACTTATCAGTCCATGAACAAGGTATTTGTTTTTTGAGGTCTGTTTTAAATTTTCTTAAGAATATTTTGTTTTAGTGCATAGGTCTTATTCACATTTTGTTAAATTTAGTTCTAAGTGTTTTATGCTTTATGCTATAGTAAGTAATATTTAAAACAACTTTATATTCAAATAGTATATTGCTAATATGTAGATACAACACTGATTTATGTATCTGACTTTATGTTCTAAACTTATTTTAAAATAGTTTTGTGTTGTTTTGGTTGCTACTTTCTTGTTGGCTTTTTTTTTTTTTTTTAAGTAAACAATCATTGAGAATAGGGACAGTTTAGGGTCCTTTTCACTTGCAGATTTTGTACCTTTTAATTTTTAATCTTAACTTATTGCATTGGTTTCCACTTCTATAGCACAGTATTGAATGGGTTTCACAAGAGTAGATATCCTTACTTTATTCTTGAACTTAAGGAGAAAGGATTCAATGTTTCACTATTGTTCTGTTAATTGTAGGTGTTTGCATCAGTGTCCTTTATTTGATGAGGAAATTTGTTTTCTGTAACCAGTTTGCTGAGAATTAACAAAAGTATTAATGGGTGCTGAATTTTTGTCATATGCTTTTTTTTTGCATCTCTTAACATCATATATATTTGTTCTTTCATATATGGTGGGTTACTGGATTGATTTTTTTTTAATAGATTATTTTTAAAGCAGTTGTAGGTTCATAGCAAAATGGATTAGAAAGTACAGAGTTCCCTTAGAGTCCCTGCCCCTGCACATGGAGGCCTCCCTGACTCTCAGCGTGCCCCCCAGGTGACACATTTGTTGCAATAGGTGAATCTACGTTGTCGACACATCACCATCACCCCAAATCTGTAGTTTAAGCTAAGATTCACTCTTTTTGTTGTACATTGTATTGGTTAGGACAAATGTATAATAACACATATATACCGTGTTTCCCCGAAAATAAGACATCCTCCGAAAATAAGACCTAGCGCATAGAAAAATAAGACATCCCCTGAAAATAAGACCTAGTGCATCTTTGGGAGCAAAAATTAATATAAGACACTGTCTTATTTTCGGGGAAACGAGGTACCATTATGGATAGTGCTAGAGGCCCGGTGCACAGATTCATGCACATTGAAAGGAAATTAATTAGAAGGTGTCCCAGGGGGTGGGACTGGGCAAGATGGGCCGGATACACCCTGAGCCAACCTTCCGAGGTCCCTTCCCAGCTAGCCACACCTGGGGAGGTGCTGGGGCTTGAAGGGGATCTGCAGAGTGAGCAGGGTCCCTCGGCCTGGCCTGCGGGGATTGGGCCAAAACTGGCAGTCCGACATCTCCTGAGGGATCCTGGAGTGTGAGAGGGCATTCTGCAAAATTGCTATCGCTCAGCAGTTCCTGCGTTGAGAATCTGCCCCCTGGTGGTCATCGCGCATCATATCTACCAGTCGGACGGCTGAACGGTCGGATGGTTTTGCTTAGACTTTTACTAGGTGTAGTGGTTTATGTGGATTTTTTTTCAATAGATGGGAGTTACACATATGTTGATATATATGCGATTTGATATGTATGTTATTTTGTTGTATTGACAACAAGCTTCAAAACTTCATATGTCAAATTTTCTGAAGGTGTTAACATCATAGACATTTTTACACTTAAAAATGTAGAATTTCGTGCCAAAAAAGAAGAGCGCATTTGTGGGAAGTTTTAATTTATTATTTTGAAGAAAAGTACTGCTGAATACTTCAGGAAGCTTATGGTGAACATGCTCCATCTCAAGATACTTGTGAAGGCTGGCTTAAACGTTTTAAAAGTGATTATTTCCATTTGAAAGACAAAGAATGTCCAGGTCAACCAAAAAGTTTGAAGATCAACAATTATAAGCATTATTGGATGAAGATGCATGTCAAACTCAAAAACAACTTGCAGGAAGATTAAACATTGCTCAGCAAACAATTTCTGATTGTTTACAAGCAATGGGAAGGATTTTAAAGGAAGGAAAATGAGTGCCACATCAACTGAATGAAAAACAAATGGAAAACCGAAAAGTCATCAGTAAAATGTTGCTTCAGTGGCACAAAAGAAAGTCTTTTTGCATCTCATTGTGACTGGCGTTGAAAAGTGGGTTTATTTTGAGAATCCCAAATGCACAAAATCATGGGTGGATCGAAGTTAACCATCAACATCTATTGCAAGGCCAAATTGCTTCGGAAAGAAGACAATGCTTTGCGTTTGGTGGATCAGGAAGGTGTGGTGTATTATGGGCTTCTAAAACCAGGTGAAACCATTAATACTGATCTCTACCGACAACAGATAATCAATTGGAACCACGCTTTGATTGTGAAACTACCAGAATCTGTCAGAAGACACAGCAAAGTAATTTTGCTTCATGATA